ACCCTGCCTCCCCGGCCGGACTGCGAGGGCGCGGCAGGGCGGACGGCGCTCAGCGCCCAGCCAAGGCGGACGCCGGCCGTGTCCCAGTGAGGGGCGCCGGGGCCAGGCGTCTGAGTCCCCAGAGCCGAGTCCTTTCACCTCGCTACCCCGACCCTTCCGGGAGCCCGCCTCGATTAGCGCTCCAGATGTTCGCTGAGCTGGGGCTCTGCTTTCCAGATGTCGGGCAGCTCTGTTCTCACGTGGTGGGGCCGCCGTCCCTCCTGCAGGAAGACGGAGCGAGTCTCTGGTCAGACCGGGGATCTGCTAGGGGTAGCGTCTCGAAGCACAGCGGGTGAAAGCTCACTTCGCTGGGGAGTTCCACGCCCTGAAGGGGGAAGAGGGTGTTACGCACAGGGAGGAAGATCAGGCCCTGAGCCCCGCTTGCTCCCTCGGCCCCAAGGGCCCCAGAAAGCTGGGATGTAGTCTCCAGTTCCCAATCCTTACCGGGTACCAAAAAATTAAAAATTAAATCCCTCGCAGTGGTCCTGGTTTTCAAAGACATGGTGGGATGATGATTTGGTTAGCATCTGTCGCTTCCACTATTTCATAAGTTCCTCGGATCAAGAACTGTGTTTTCGCGAATCACTGTGCTCCTGAGTCTGGCACAGGGCCGGGCACAAGGTAGATGCACAACAAAACTCACTAACGCAGGAAATAAACTCTGCTGTGCTCTTGGGTCATGTTTCTTGTGCCACTGCCAACGCAGACCGGCCTCGTCCGGGGCCACAGCACGCACACCGGTGTCCCTGGCGGACTCCTGCCCGAACTGCAGCCTCCCCCTCCAGGGAGCTGCCCCTTCGCAAGGCTCTCCGCGCGTCCTTCTCCTTGGACATAATGGAACCAGGGCAAGAGCCTGTCTGCCCAGACCCCGAAGCTGGGCCCTGACCCGGCCTCCCACCAGGCTGCCCTGGCCCCGGGGGTGGCCGCGGACGCCCTCCTCCTCTCCCGGCTTCCTAACCTGTGCTTTCAAACGCACCCAACGCAAGCCGGCGCCAAGGCAGCCCCAAGCGCCGCCAACCCGGGCCGCTCCTCCTGGGACTCCCACTCCCTCTCTGATGATCTCGGATCCTCTGCAGAAAAAGGAAGAAAAAGAACAAGAATGTGGTAGCAGAAACTGCGGAGGATTACGAGGCGGAGCGCAAGGGGCCTCCGCAGGGCAGGAGTGGGCGGCGGGCAGGCGGCGGGGCGGGCGCGGAGCAGCCGTCGAGGCCAGGCCCGGCCATGGGCACCGGGAGGCGGCGCGGCGCGAGGGAAGCCGGGGCGAGCGGCGACGGGCCGCGTGTGTGTTTTTATTATTATTATTTCTGATTAAAGAGGAATTCATCTCATATCTGCCTCCTGCCAGGGGCCGAGGCGCCGCCATTGGGGTTAACGGTGCGGAAGAATACAAAAAAATTTCATTGAGGAGGATTATAAAAGTTACTAGCTGGAACATTAACAGAAGAGTAACTTGTAAAAAATGCAATATTACAATATTCACAAGGACGGCAGAGCGTGGTAAAGCTATAAAATTCAACATTAAAATCTTCCACAGCCTAGATAACCTAGTTAACAAACATGGTGTTGGAACTACTTTCTGTGGAGGCCGCTGCTTCCGGGCCTGGGGCTGCGCACACCTCGGCACGGGGGCGGAGCGCCCGGCCAGCCCCACCCCTCCAGCCTCGCTCCTCCGGAGAATGGGTCCAGCCTGAGCCCGCGGGTGGGCGGCGAGCTTACACGTGAAAGAGCGATCAAATCAGAGACTTCAGCGTAGATTTAGTCCTGCCGAGCAGGATGTGCATTTCTGTATCTGCAGGAAGAGTGTGCAAAATGTAGAGGACTCTGTGTGTGTGTGTGTGTGTGTTCAGAGTCCCATGTGTATGCAGTGTGTGCTCAGGAACCCCACGTGTATGTGCATAGGACTTGAGAACACATGCGTGGTATGTAAATATGCATGTGAGCAGGACGACAGAGCACGGTGTTTTGAGATGAAGGATGGTGCCCGTGCATGTAGAGTGTATGTGTATGTGTGTGCACTGAATGCACGCGTATGTAAGCTGTGTGTGGAGAGAGCATAGGTGTTTACTGAAGGTGCATGCGTGGTTTAGGCCCACACAAGCACGGTGTTATGGTTTGCGTCTAGATGTCCCCCAAAGCCTCAAACACCTAGTTAACAAACATGGTGTTGGAACTACTTTCTGTAGTTCCAACAGGCTGGCTTTGAACTCACTCAATCATGGGGCGGGCTTCTAGAGTTTATGATTGACTCGTGGTCCAATGCTGGGATTATGGGTGTGAGTGCTACACCACCCTGGGGCATAGCCTGCATACAATATATGGGCGCGAAAGAGGCTGCTTGCTGTTCCTCCCTATTTGCTCTTGTTGCTTTTGTTGTCTTCCACCACCATGAACTGTTGCCCTCTACCATGTGCTGCTCTGCCTTGGAGCCAACCAAGCATGGACTGAAACCTCCACAAACTGCGAGCTAAGTAAACCTTTCCTTCCTTAATTTTGGGCATCATCAACTATTTTGTCTCAGCAACGAGGGAAAAGTAACTAAGACACTGGGTTATACGGATGGGCCTAAGATCATCACAAAAGTCCTTTAGAGGGAAGCAAGAGTGTAAAGAGTCAAAGGAAATGTGAGAACAGAGGCATGGATGGCAGTGATGTGGCCATGAGCCAAGGAATGTGGGTAGCTTCCAGAAACTGGGAAAAGGAAGGAAACAAATTTTCCCCCAGAGCCACCAAAAACAACAAAGTGCAGAGTGTTATGGCATGTGCCTGCAATCCCAGCACTCAGGAGGCTGAGCAGGAGGATCACCATGAGTTCAAGGGCAGCCTGGGCTACCTAGTGAGTTCAAAGCCAGCCTGAACTGCATAGAGAGACCCTGTCTCAAAAAGAAAAAGAATAAAGTTCTCCTGCCCCACTATAAATTTCTGAACCCAAGAAGTGTATGATAAAAAAAGCATTGTTTTAAGTCACTAAAATGTTGGTAAGGGGCTGGGGGTTTAGCTCAGTGGCAGAGTGCCTGCCTGGCAAGTGTGAGGTCTTGAGTTCTATTCCCGGTACCGGCAAAAAAAATGTTGGTAATTTGCTACAGCAGTGGTAGAAAATTAACACTTGTAAAGTGCCTAGAACAGTGTTGCATACATAGCAAGCAAGTACTTTATAACTATTTGTATAATAAATCCCTTGAAGCTGACACTTGAGGCCCTAGGGGAGGCTTGTTTGATCAACCAAATGCCAGATTCTCGGTGGCCATCTAAGACTGCCCTTGGCCCCTGTGTCTTCTGAGATTCTGGGTCCTGCTTGAGACTGATCTTTCCCCACACAAGCACGGACACACGCTCGAGTTGGGGTGCAGTGCTCACTCTATGTCTGCCTGCTTGTCTTTCCTTGGTCATGCACGAGGCTGGGTCAGCTTGAGAATCTTTTGGTTCATTTGCTCTTTGTCCAGGCTTGGCAGGAAAACAGTGGTTATGCTCTCAGAGAGGGAAACCTGTGGGGGGACTGGGTGCTCTGAGAGCCCGTGGAGTATATACATGCTCTGTCCACAGGAGGCTCAGTGGACACCAGGCTTTAAGCCACACTCGGCCACGGTTTTAGTCACAGAACTCCAGCCACCAATGGATGAGGTTTTGCTCAAAGGCAGTGGCTCTCCTGTTTCCTCTGCCTCCATCTCCAGTGTGGGGCCCCTGTTAACAGTTTTCCCTGTGGTTCTCCATGGGAATAGGCCTTGGGGGGCCTTCCTGAGAACGACTGGAATGACCGGGTTGATTTGCACCACAACATGTGCCTCCGTTTCCTGACCCTTGTCTGCCTTCCTTGCAGGGTGTTTGGAAGGGAACTTGCTCCACGCTCACTTATCATTAATGCCGGGGCTTCCGGAACCAGTATTCACATTTATGTGGAGGAAAGAGGCAACTCTCCTCTTCACGAGATCGTGCAGGCGCATACATAGGGCGGGTGCCACAAGGAATCCGAGAAACCTCTGCTAGCATTAGCTTTCCTTTCCCGGATGACCAGGGGAGCCTGACCTCCAGGCATCCGTCTCGCACTGTGCACGTGTTTAGCAAATACGTGTGCACATGCGTCCACACTAGAGATCAGTGTGTGCACTCTTGGCAGCCCCAGAGGGGGGTGACAGGCACTTTTGGGGTGAGTTCACTGTGAGGTACAAAAACAGGGCTGGGCTGTAGCTCATGCCTAGCATGGGTGAGGCCCTGGGTTCAGACCCACCGCCCCCAGACTGAAAAAAGAAAAAAAGATTACAGAGTCCACTATGTGCATTGAAATGGTTAAGGACCACACTCTGGGCTTAGAATACACAGATTAGACTCTCAGCTCTACCACTTCCTGGCCAGTTGACCTCTGTGCACCATAATTCACTTTACTGCCTCAGCATTTCCACCTCTAAAATGGGATGATAATAGTGCCTGATTCATAAGGTTGTTTTGAGAATTAAATGTGACCTGAAGTATCACAGTGCCTGGTACAGAACACATTCTCAATAAATGCTGCTGTTGACAATGGTAGGTTCATGATCCTTGCTCCCCCTCTTCTGCAAAGAGGCAGTGCGGTATCCTGGCCCATGAGCCAGGGGACATGAGTTAGAAGAAAGCACCCTCCACCAGCCAGTTGTGTGGGCTCCTGTCCCCAACCTGCAGTGTAACCAGGAGCCTGGCACATGCAAGGCAAGCTGCCGTGAGCTGACCCCCAGCCTCCCAGTGTCTCACCCTTAACCCAGATGAGCTCCAGCTTCCTCATCACTACAATGGGGACAAGTCCTACTTCAGAGGGACACCTATGAGGGTCTGTTATGGTTTGTGTCTAGATGTCCCCCCAAAGCCTCGTGCAGTGAAGTGGTGGCTGCTGGAGTTTTGATTGACTCATGGTTCAGTGCTGGGATTATGGATGTGAGTGCTACACCTGCCTGGGGCATAGCTTGCGTACAGTATAGGGGAGGGAAAGAGGCTTGCTGCTCCTCCCCATTTGTTTTTGTTGCATTTGCTTTTTTCTGCTGCCAGGAACTGTTGCCCTCTGCCATGTGCCACTCTGCCTTGGAGCCAGCTGAGTATGGACTGAAAGCTCCACAAACTGTGAGCTAAATAAACCTTTCCTTCCCTACTTTTGAGCATCAGGTATTTTGTCTCAGCAATGAGAAAAAAGTAACCAAGATAGGACTAGAATCTATAAACACAAAGGCTGCAGCTGGTCTCTAGCCAGGTTACTAAAGGCCTAACCTGTATCTTACTGCATACAGGTAAATCACACAGTGGAGCAAGGGAGGCTGGAGGTGTAACTCGGTAGGATAGCCGGGGGCTGGTGTGCACAAGCTTCTGGGTTTGATTTCCTCAGTATCGCAAAGAACAATGATACAGGGGGTCACCCTTTCATCCTCGATGCTTGAGATGGTCACTGATTCCAGTTTCCTGTGTATCAGGACGAGTCTACGCATGAGGTGTGCATGTGTGAGTGTTCTCTTTTTCTCTTGTGTGAATGGTACACCTTGCTTCATGCTTTTTTTTTTCATTTAATTTACTTTGGAGATCTTTTCACATCTGTACATTTCGAGAGATGATATACATTATTAGACATAATGTTACTTCCTTTGGAGTCAAAGCTAAATCGTAGCCTGTCGAATAGTTGCGTTATCAGTCATTTAACCAGGCTCCTGGTAGAGCTACTGCTCTTAGGCTGTCTCATGCTGAAGAGCAAGGAGCACTGCCTCTTTTCTCCAAATAAATAAATAAATAAATAAATAAACGTGAATGTTTGGCTCCAGGAGCCCAGGCATTGATCTAAGTGAATGTGGAGCAAATTCCCTTTCATTCTCTTAACCCTCCTCTGTGAGGAAGGCAGACAAGGGTCAGCATCTCCTTTTGTGATGAAACAACTGAGGCACACGTTGTGCAAATCAACCCAGTCATTCCAGTATCTCTAAAGATACTTCTGACCCTCAAATAGAGCGGCAACAACTATCTTTGTACATCTGTCATTTTTTTCATCTGCATAGGTAAATAGTTTGCTTTTAAATTTTTAATTTTTTTTTTTTTTTTTTTTTTTTGAGACAGGGTCTCACTATGCAATTCAGGCTGGCCTTGAACTTTCTATGTAACCCAGGCTGGCCTTGAACTCCAAGTGATCTTCCTGCCTCAGCTTCCCAATTGTTGGGATTACAGGTGTGTGCCACAATGCCTAGCTTCCAAAAACTTAAATTTCTGATTGCCTTTTTAAAAAATCAGATAACTCACATGTAATCCCAGCACTCAGCAGGCTGAGGCAAGAGGATCACCACAACTTTGATGCGAGCCCAGGCTACATAGTGAGTTCAAATCCAACTTGAACTACAGAGTGAGACCCCATCTCAAAAAAAAAAAAAAATTAGACAACTGTTGAACATGATGGCACACACAATCCTAGCCGGCTGGGAGGCTGAAGCAGGAGAATCTCACTAGTATCACTGGCTCCCATTTCTACATAGCAGTGGTCTCCAGAGCTGAGGAATCATGTCCATGCTCTGTCCTCCCCGCAGAGCTGTGGAAGGCCTGCGGGGAGGACAGAGCCCCGCACTTAGCATGCACTTAGCATGCACAAGATCCTGGGTTCAGTCCCCAGCACAAATAAAGCAAGAAACCTTCAGTTGCTCCAGATCCCCCTTCCCTGTATTCGTCCCAACTCTCACCTCCCAGGCATCTGAGGCCCTGGTCGGATTTAGCGTGAACACTTGCAGGTGGTCTCTGCTGCCACAGCGCTCACTCAGGGAACGCACCTGTCACACAGCCTGCTCCCCTGGACACGGGTCTCCAGCCTGCATGTGCGGTGGGGGTGGGTTTGTGTTGTCACAGTGCTGGGGACCCGCTGGGAGGGACGGGCTCTGTCCTCCCCGCAGGCCTTCCACAGCTCTGCGGGGCGGGGCTCCTTCCACAAAATGACACTGGCCCGCCAGAGCTGTGCAGGGCAGCACGGTAGCCACTAGCCACAGTCGTGCGGGAGACACCAGTTAATGGAACAGAAACCCAGTTCTCCACTCACGCTTTTCAAGTGTTCTGACGCTTTTCAAGTGTTCAGTAGCCCCCCAAGGCTCGCGTCAGCCCAAGGCGCAGTGCAGACACAGAAGTTCACGGCGCGCTGCTCGGGACAGTCCCTCCGGGAGGAAGGGGCGCAGTTCGGCCCCCATGGGAACTCCCCTGCAGGTCCAGTGCAGGCCCTGGGCACGCCCTGGGCAGTGCTTCTGAATTCACCGAGGAGAAACGCGAGGAGGGACGAGCAGACCGACGGCCCAGGCAACACAGCTTTAGAGCCCTCCGGGCAGCTCAGGCTGCGGCGTTTTGGGGGGGCCGGGTCTGGGGCCGTCCACCTAAACGCTGGGGACTGGCGGCGTCTGGGGGAGGCAGCGGTCTTTGCTGCTGGCCCCGGGAGGCTGGGAGCGGTGGCCCTCGGGCCCGGGGAAGCCCCGCGACCCTTGGGGTGGCCGGGCAGGCCGGATCCCGCCCAGATGGGCCGGTGGGCAGCGGGGGACTCCTCGTCCAGGGCTGACCGGCCTGGGGCTGGCGCGGTG